CAAGGTATTTAGGCCTATAGATCATGGAATTTCAAAATTTAAACCCCATCGTACTAAACATCGTATAAATGCCGCAAAAATTGTATTTTGTGCCAGCGTTCCAGTGTTCTAGACAACTTTGGTCTGTTTAACATCTTCTGTTTAAACGGCATTACGATTAGTCCAATATTATATCAAATATCTATATTTTTCTACTACTTATACGTGAATATCCAATTAACACCTCTCCAGTCTGTAGTTTCATAATATATAAATCATCATCACAGTGGAGTCTGTCTCCCAGAGTAAACGTGATGCAATTACTGTCGTATTACCAGCCGTATATAACCTCACCCCAAGTATCATATCCGCAGTGCGAAAATCCAAGTCACCCAGCGGTCTCTGCGGCTATATCTCATTTTCAAGCGAAACCGAGTATGCATAAAGTACGTGAATGCTTGAAAATTGTTGTACGCGTCACATTATTAATATCCAAGATGTAGGGGTAGATCTGCCAACGACCTGACACTTCATGCATCAGAGATTGCCTTGCACATTTGTCCTAAAAACACATGTTCGTAGCTAACTATCTCGTTTTTTTAAATTTTCAAATGTCAAAGATTTAATTCCAAGGGGCCGTTAATTATACTGGGTGTAAGCGTTATGGTAGTCATTACTGAGATGGGTAATAATAATAATAATAATAATAAACGTCTTTATTAAATAATATATACAATACTTGTGTATGTATACAGGGTGTTTCAGTTTATTGTTGCATAACTTTAAGATTCAATAGAACTTTTAAAATTAATGCATAAAGTTTATATAAACATGGGTCGAAAAATGCGTGGCTTCCGAAATACAGGGTTTAAATTTACTTTCTAAAATAGTTTTTTTTAAATATTTCGAACAATATTTGATGTATAACAGTGAAAATTGGTATACAAGGGTTTTTTGGTACGACAAAACGAACCATGGTCATAGTTTTACTGTAGCCGCTAGAGGGCGCTCTCTACTGTACCTGTAGTGTATTAAAATGACCGAAAATTTTTTCTTTGTGCAATTTTTTGCTTTTTGAATAAAAAAACTGATTCTTCGCACTTTTCAACATAAAAAATCTCTCTTGTGAATTTTCGTTATAGTTAGCCGTTTTTGAGATATTTTGATTTTTAAGGTTCGATGCATTTTTAATTATTTATGATAAAATAACGTTAAAAAGTCAGTATCTCGATAATTTTTAGAAGTAGGCTGTGCCTGCAAATATTTTTGAAATTGAAAGCAGAATAAGGTTAAACGTCAATTAGTTGACAGTTAGTTTTGTTGTCTGTTGAAACCTGAAACGTTTTTTTGCAATTGTGAATGCACGAACTTTAGTTTCTTTTACCTGATTTTTTTTGTAAGTTTTATAAAAATGCCATTTTTATTCTCCAATCAAGAGTTAGCGGATATTCATTTTGTGTATGGCTTTGTAAATGGAAACGCAGCAGAAGCAGCCAGAGAATACGCACGAAGATATCCAAAGAGACGACATCCAACTCGCTCAGTATTTGTAAGAGTGTATCGCCAAATAATTGAAAATGCTTTTGGAAATCTCCAAAGGGAACAAAACATAAATGTTCGTCAGCGCAGATTTACCCGTATGATTCTGCGTGTGTTTGATAGAGATCCGACCACAAGTGTTAGGAGAGTTTCTGGTGCCTTGGGAATTTCAGCAAGCCATGTTCACCGGATTCTTAGAAATGACCATAGACGTCCTTACCATTTGCAACCTGTGCAAGGACTACAGCCAGGGGACGGAGAACGAAGAATCACATTTTGTCAGTGGATTCTTGATAGAACTGATAATAATAGGGAGTTTTTAAGTTACGTTTTATGGACCGATGAGTCATGCTTCACTAGACGTGGAGTGGTAAATTTTCATAATCAACATATTTGGTCGCACGAAAATACGCATGCAGTTCGGGAAAGAAATTTTCAGCATGAATTTAGTGTGAACGTGTGGATTGGTATCTACCGTAATCGACTATTTGGACCCTACCCTTTGCCTGCAAGGTTAAATGCTGCGACCTTCTTGGAATTTTTAAAGGCTGAATATGCAAATATGTGGGATGATGTTATGTTAGATTTAAGAAGATTGGCCTGGTTCCAGCTTGATGGTTGTCCAGCTCATTATTCGAGAATAGTTAGAAACTGGCTGGACGAAAATTATCCAGAAAGATGGATCGGCCGTGGAGGACCAGTCGCCTGGCCTCCACGATCCCCTGACCTAAATCCATTAGATTTCTTTGTGTGGGGATTTCTAACAGAAAAAGTGTACCAGACTCCCGTAACCACAAGTCATATGCTAATAGACAGAATCAGGAATGCATGTGATGAAATAAGGCCTTATTTGAATAATGCTATACCACGTTCGATCATTCGTAGATGTGAATTGTGTATTGAACAATTGGGTTTACATTTCGTGCAACTACTTTAGATTTTGTATGTTTGTCCTAACTATCATTTTAGTTGTAAATAATTAATTTAATTTGTTAAAAATAATATTGGAAAATTAAACAAATTAATATTCTGTTTTTTTGTGTTTATCTGGAGTTAGGAATTATTGCTGTGTTTAAAAACACAATCTAACCGATCATTTTAATTACTTGTAATACCCAAATCGAAAATGTAAAAAAAATATTATTTTCCCATAACTAAAAATGCATCGAACCTTAAAAATCGAAATATCTCAAAAACGGCTAACTATAACGAAAACTCACAAGAGAGCTTTTTTATGTTGAAAAGTGCGAAGAATCAGTTTTTTTATTCAAAAAGCAAAAAATTGCACTAAGAAAAATTTTTCGGTCATTTTAATACACTACAGGTACAGTAGAGAGCGACCTCTAGCGGCTACAGTAAAACTATGCCCATGGTTCGTTTTGTCGTACCAAAAAACCCTTGTGTCCCAATTTTGACTATTATACATCAAATATTGTTCGAAATATTTAAAAAAAAACTATTTTAGAAAGTAAATTTAAACACCCTGAATTTCGGAAGCCACGCATTTTTCGACCCATGTTCATATAGACTTTATGCATTAATTTTAAAAGTTCTATCGAATCTTAAAGTTATGCAACAATAAACTGAAACACCCTGTATATAAAGTGTAACTATAGTGGCGAAGTTTAGCAATATGCTACTCTAACACTTAACCACTAAAGTGAAATATTACGTTGTTAACAGTTAATAAAAAAAAATGCAAAATATATATAACAAATCACTTATAACCCATATGAGAAGTGGAAAATGAGATATTTTGTGTCCACATACTGCTACTCTAAAAAGATCTATGAAATATTGAAGGAAAAGTTAATCGTTCAAATAACTCAACATTGTAGCGGAAACGTGGTAAACTCAAGGTCTTAAATTTACTGTCCAAAGAATTATATATTGCTGCAACGTTATATGAGAAACTTCGTTGGAACAGAGATGATGTATGCTTCGGAATTCTGATAACGTGCCTGTCTCTAATAGCTCTATCGTGAATGGTGTTATTAAAAATTATTTTTTCACATAGGTATTCTGGCTTAAAATTAATTAAAATTTTATGGATAAATGTGGAAAAACGTAACTTGACCGACACTGGTCAAACTTTAGCCATCTCAATTCGGCATATTTGTGAGAGACATGGTCGAACTTTCTCATGCCAAATATAAAGCGAACACAGCTGTTTTAAATCAATTGGATTCTGTGTTTAGTGATGTGATCCAAACAGGGAAAATGCGGCTGAAATAATAAATGGACAACTGCGAGGACCTAGAGTAAGAAGAAACTCGGTTCGTCGTAATGAAGCTTGTGTGGAAAGTGGATGGCGACATTTTGAACACCTTCTTTAAATACAAAAAAGTGTAGTGTGGGTTTTAAAAAGGAAAACAATTTATGTATCAAAATTATAAGTGGATTTTTTTAATTCGTTCAATAAACTTTCACACGCCAGGTGAAGCGCTTAAACAGTTAGTGGTAAGTCCGTTTTTTTTAATTGTTTGCATTTTACGAGTACATTATGAAATAACGAAATAAGAGCCAAAAATAACAAACTCCATCTTCATTTACACTGCTTAATTTGCGTCTGACATTGCGGCGTTGTCAGATTGTATTTTACTTTAAAGTCGTTTACACCCTGTATAGATACTATAGAAAAAATTCTGTGGATAGGCATGGGAAATACGGAGGTAATGAGGTAATTTGGAGTTTATAAACATAACATAGTAAGTGATATTTATATTCTTGACGCCAATTTTTCATTCAGACTCGGCTCCATATGAGACTCGTGGCCTGCGGCTGACGAAGCATCAGAACAAAATCCGAGGATGTCGTTCGCCGTTAGGACAAATTGAGTAGGGGATGTTCATGTCCAGGCCATTTATCCATAGGGCAAAGATGGAATAAAAAACCTAAAAAAACATTATTTTGTGATTTGCTCGAAAAAAGTTTTTAAAACAAATTAGCAACCTCTTGATTCGTGATGCGGGGTATCGAGCAATCGTGTTTAAGAAAAAAAATTGACCACTTATGCGAGCAACTCTTAGATCTACCTTACCTTCCAATTGTCAGAAACCTTTGCATCTCATTGTCTAAGGACCTTATAATCCGACCGAACCTCTTGTTAGTAGTAAACCGGAGTGAAATCCTTTATTTATGCAAGCAGCAGATCAAGATTTCGTAACGTATACCCGGTTTATGAATAGAGAACATTATTCACCCACGCCGAATTGGTATTTAATTTCCACACCAACACAACGCCACGACCCTGATGGCATTTCAGTGAAATTTTATGCAAACACTAGGGATGTTTGATATAACAGAAATAAATTATCTCCGCCGAAAAATAACTCGATTACTATACTAAGTGACATATAAATCCGAACACCCAGTTTAAATGGTTTTATTTTAATAAAATTTTGTATAAGTACTTAATGAAGCATAATAAGTAAATGATAAACATTTCAAAATGATTGCACTGCTTTAAAGCCCTTTGACCTTTAATAATGTGTGGATGCACCCTGATGTGCTACGCATTCTCCAACGCGCCTAGGCATGCTTCTGATCAGGTGGTCAATGTCTTCCTGTGGTATCTCATTCCAGGCAACCATCAACTCCTCTCGAAGTGCTTCTAGAGTCTGAGGAGGACGTTGCAAATTGAGCAATCTCCTACCCATCATATCCCACACGTGCTCAATTGGGGATAAGTCGGGAGATCTTGGTGGCCATCGTAACAATGTGACATCATTATGTTGAAAGAAGTCTATTGTGACTCTTGCAACATGTGGTCGGGTATTATCTTGTTGGAAAGTTGGATCTGCCAGGGTGTCAAGATAGGGTAAAAGATGGGGTTCTAGAACTTCGTGGATATAACGCTGCGCGTTCATGTTACCTCTGATGAAGATTAAAGATGACCTGGAACCATAAGCTATAGCACCCCAAACCATAACTCCAACAGTGTGATGAACATGTCTTTCGACAAAAAACTGTGGATTCCTCCTTTCACCACGTCGCCTTCTAACCCTGGCACGACCATCGTGCATGCCTAAACAAAATCGAGACTCGTCACTAATGACAATACTGTTCCATTCCTGATCCCAGAGTGACCGTTGTCTGCACCACTCAAAGCGATTACGTCGGTGTTCTCGAGTTAAAGGGAGGACCCAGTGTGGCCGGTATGAAAACAAGCCAAAACTTCTCATTCGTCGGTAAACATTTCGCATGCCAATAGGTCTTCCGTGTTCTGCAAACCATTCATTTGCAATGGACCTGGTAGTGGAGAAACGGTCCCTTAAGACCAATAATCTTAGGCGGCGATCTTCACGGTCTGTTGTTCTACGGCGGCGACCAGTGCCCCTTGCTCTTTGCGTACGGCCTTCTCGAAGCCATGCCTGACAACACCTAACCACAGTGTCTACACTTCTTTGCACTCTAACTGCAATTGCCCGAAAAGAAAGTCCAGCTTCCCGAAGTCCCACTATACGGCCCCTATCAAACTCACTAAGTTGACGAAATCGTACAGGTCTCCGTACTCTAGGCATCGTAACCGATCGTAAAGGATGTCAAGAACCAAAATCCGCCAACTTTGATTCTTTACTGCGGCTGAAATATTCATTTTTAGAGCGTTAGTGAATTAAAAAAAAGCAGTATAAAAACCGGAATGTCCAACTGATAAGGCCGAAAATTTTTTCACTTGTTATTTACAGTAAGATAAATACATTCACCAACTTTTATTAAAATAAAACCATTTAAACTGATTTATATCTCACTTAGTATACATGCAGATTTATTTACGCAATGGTGTCAAAACTAGGAACGAGTGGAAACGATCGTGTATTCGAACCGCAGAGAAAATTATTCAAAAAATTACTAATCTGGATTGTAGGAAACTGACGTTAGGTTCGGAATCTATCCCATGGGAGGGGCGGGGGTAGTGATCGAATATCAAATGTAAAAATAAAATTTCAGTATTCATGTTGAACGAAAACATAAATTGCGGAATCATTCGACTTGGCGGGCGTGGATCTCTTCCCTGGGAGTGGTCCCAAATTCTGACAACTGCTGACATTTCAATTTCAGGTTGTTTTTTTTTTCTCTCAAATTATAAGAAACGGTGAATCAATACATTATATCGGAGCAGTTACTGATTCACATTCATCATTTATAAGATTATTTATAGTAATTGACGCGTGCACGTCACATCGATTATATTATTATTTTATCTATTGATGTGATTAGCAATTAACCTTAATAATCTTTGTAAGACTCTGATACCCTGATCATTTGATAGAGTACTTGATCATGATATAGTTATTACAATCGCCCCGAAATAATTCATTTCCTGCTTACATTATACAAAGTATTATTCGATTAAAATTTCCTAAATGACTTTCTTAATGTTTCTTCATTTTCTTTACCTTGTTATTAAAAAACGACTTCTAAATACTTCAGGTTCCAAAAACGGACCCGTAGTGAAACAGACAGTAATCAATTAAGCTTTTATTCCTAAGCTAAACTTACCTATATCTAGTAATAATGATGAAAAATGCAGCACTGCCCAAAAACTTCTTCTACTATCAAAATACGTAACGGTGGACTGAAAAGTAACATGTAATGCTATTTGCGCGTGTGCTCACTATAGATGTTACGAGGGATGTCTTTTAAGTTTTTGCATATGGAAATATTGTTTTTCGACGTATTCTCCACGAAGATTAATATATCTGCATGCACTAGAACCAATTTTCGATGCACTTATTCCACTCGTTTGGTGGCAGATCCAAAACGGCATTTTTGAATGCGTCAACTGCTTCTTCTGGTGACTGGAACCTTTGACCACGCAGTCTGTTTTTAATTTTCGGGAAAGTAAAGAAATCGTTAGGAGTTAGATCGGGACTATATGGAGGATGGTCCAATAATTCCACGTTTTCTTCCGTTAAATACTGCCTTCTTTTTTGGGCTGTGTGCCAGTTTGCATTGTCTTGGTGGAGGATGATTCTTCTTTCGGGGTTGATTTTTCGAAGCTCGGTGATGACTTTTGGCAAACAAATGGTGGTATACCAATCTGCCAGTAACAGTTATTTGCTCATTAAGAGGAATTGTTGCAATATGACCCGCTTTTGACACAAATGTCGCGACCATCCTTTTCGAAACACTTCGAGAACGGATGACTTTTGTTGGCTTTTCTTCACCTTGGAACACCCAAACAGCCGACTGTCATTTATTTTCTGGTTCATAACAGTAAATCCACGATTCATCACCACTAACAATGCAGTACACATTTTTTGAGTTTCCGGAATTGAAAAGGTCAAGCGTTTTTTGACACCAATTAACCCTGGCTGCTTTCTGCTCTTCAGTCAACAGGTGGGGTATCCAACGAGAAACTAATTTTCTTACTCCTAATTCTTCATGTGAAATTTTTTGAACTGAGGTATTTGAGATCTTCAAGGACGCCTCAATCTCGCGATATGTCACATGTCCATCTTCAATGATGAGTTTGCGCACAGCATCGAAGTTTTCCTGGATGACTGCAGTTTTTGGTGCACCCACCCTGGGATCGTCGCTAAGACTCACCCGTCCACGTTTGAATTCTCCATACCAACGGGAAATTATCGACTGATGTGGCGCTTCGTTGCCGAAAACAGTCAGTAACTCAGCAGCGCATTCTTGTTGCGATAATTGTCTCTGAAAGTTGTAATAAGTTATGGCGCGAAAATGTTCTCGGTTGAGTGCCATTTTTCTAATGACTTGGTGACACTTAAAAATTCACTGTAGTGAGAACACTGCACGTATTTTTTAATTTAAGTTTACCAGAGAGTGAGGTTAAGATTCAGTACTGACGTTCGATCCGCGCGGCCTACTATGTTTCTATATGCAAAACTTAAAAGACATCCCTCGTAGTAGCTACTATTTACTGGATGTACAGGTTCAGCTATAAATTGACACCCCTCTAACTTTCTTATTCAAACTTCTAGATAAAAATTTGTGGGTCCAATATGAAGTTTTTCATTTAGTATTTTTTGTATACCAGGTGACTCAGAAAAGTGCCAGCGAATAAAGTTGTATGTTTTTGATTCCAAATATATATATGGTTTGATAAACGTATTTGTATTACTTTGTGTGTGTTTAATTTAATTATTGATTAATACACACTGATTCAGTGTATTGATTTTCTCAATGTTTTTATTGTAGCGCGGCAGAAATATCAAGCTCAGAGTGCAGCAATGTTAAAAGAAATCTATGCTCTTGAGTCAAGAAATCTTTTATGTATATGCTGTTTGACTAATTGTTTTTTCCTCTGTTGCAGATACTCTGATGATGAGTGCAGCCACAGCAGTCAAATTCTTTTGTCTAGCATTTTCGTTAATTATCGTCTTGGCGACAGTATCATCAGCGCCGTATTCAGATTATGATAGTAAGTAGGATTATTTTTTATCAGATGTATAGTTTCAACTGAGGTGGCTTTGGTCCAAAAAAATTTTATTTTAGGTCATTAAATTTATGTAAAGACTTTAATCTCGAAAAGACATTTTCGTAATTCCGAATGTCCAAAGCTGTATGCAGGACATCCCGGAACTCGAAAAATTTAAATATTTCATTTATTAAAGGAAACACAGAATTACGTAGAACTATAATAATACAGCAGACGCTCGATAATGAAAACTTGCGCTAATGTAGACACAAACTTCGTTCCATAGGATCAAACGGAACGCGCGATAACGTAAACAATGTGTACGCTCGATAACGTAAACAACTCTCGGCACACGGAAACAGCGCGACGGTAAAATGCTGAAGCCTCGATGATTTATGTCGGGCATCGGGGAGTCCCCGATTTATGATGTAGACTGGAGGGGATTCACCTCTGCGATAAAATACGACAAACTCGGTTAGTCGTATGATCGTTTAGGATACGTTTATAGGTACGTATGTATTTCATTTTTGAACTTAAGTGAATACATTGCACGCGTTAATATATTTTACGACTATGGCATCCACATCCTATAAAAGAAAATGTTTAAAGTTGAGTGAGAAAGTGAAAATCATAGACGAAGTTGCACTAGGTGCGGGAGTGACACAGTTAGCAAAGAAATATGGAGTATCGAAAGCAACAATCTGTAAAATTAAGCGTATGAAAACTCAAATTTTAAAAAGAACGTGCAATACATTTGAAGGTCCGGGAAAAAGAAAAACTTAAAAAAATGCGAAGGCACCTAAAATGGAAAATTCCCTGTTTAAGTGTTTTTTAAAACAACGGAAAAATCATGTCCCAGTTAGTGGCGAAGTACTTAAACAGAGAGCGAGACTGTTAAATGAAAAACTGAAAGAAACTGAAAATTTCGTAGCTAGTGATGGCTGGCTACAGTGATTCAAAACAAGATATGGAATTCGACTGCTGTCTATATCCGGTGAAAACTTATCAGCACAACCACAATTAGTGCAACCATTCAAAGATAAATTGATGAAAACAATTACCGAACTAGATGTAAGAATGGAACAAATTTACAAAGCAGATGAAAGTGGCCTTTATTGGAAAATGTTACCAGAGAAAACCTATGCTGCATCATTTGAAAAATCTGCCCCGGGAAGAAAGCCGGAGAAACAACGAATAACGTTTCTAGCCTGCACTAATGCTAATGGTTCACACAAAATAAAGCCACTGGTAATTGGGAAAGCAAAAAATCCGCGCTCATTTAAAAATGTTAATATCCCTGTTGATTATGACTGTTCAAAAACCGCTTGGATGACTAGCAGTATATTCCTGAAATGGTTCCACAGGTGCTTTGTCCCTCAGGTATGACAATCAATTATCACAAATGCTCTATTCATAATTTGAAGATGTGTTTTCAATTTGTAGGTAAAAGGTTTCCTAAAACAACAGAAGCTTCCAATAAAAGCGTTGTTACTATTGGATAATGCACCAAGTCATCCTCCCGAGCAACAACTGAGGAGCAGGGATGGGTCAATTTTCGTCATGTACATGCCGCCCGACGTAACACCGTTAATTCAACCGATGGACCAGAATATAATAAGACTCACCAAACTATACTATAGGAAGTTTCTACTTTCGTCTGTCTTATCAAAGAATCCTGAAAACTTATCTGAGGCTTTAAAAAAAGTAACATTACGAGAAGCTGTTTTAGATTTACATATGGCCTGGAATGAACTTAACCAGCAAACTATTCAAAAATGTTGGAACAATCTCTTTTGTACCAATAATGAAGATGGTGAAGGAGACGATGTCCCCTTAAGCGTAATTAGAGAACGTTTGCGATCCAATAATGATAATGTTATTAGTGTGTCATTGGATGTTGTTGATTTATTGAAAACAGTGAATCCCAACATTGTTTGTACTCCTGCTGATATTAAGTTATGGAACGAAGATAAGCAGACGAATGATGCTGATAAGGAGGAGGATATGGACAGTGAGGATGATGAGAACGATCCCATTGAAGTCAGAAGTATAGTGACTGACGCGCAAGCTATACAAGTTTTTAACCAAGCTTTAGATTGGGCTGAAAGAAAAGAAGTTTCATACACGGATATTTTAGTTCTTCGTAAATTACGGGCGCAGGCATTGGAAGACAATGCCAAGCGCAAATTTACGCAGACAAAAATTGTGAATTATTTTTCTTCTAATTAAAAAAATACTTATCGCTGTTAGAATATTTGTTTATTTTGTTATAAATAGTATTTATTAAACGTTTCTTTTAATAAATCAAATATTATATAAATCACGTTCGCTAATGTAAACATTTCGATAATGTGAACCACACTTGGATTAAATTAGTTTACATTATCGAGCGTCTGCTGTATAATGTTTATTGCAATAACGTCTTATACAAAATCGTTATCATACAATAAACCTAAAATACCCAAATAAGTTTGAACGTATGCTTTGCATCACATGAGAATGAAAAAAAGCTCAAATCGGTAAGTACAAAAACGTAAATAATGCAGGTGTTACAATGTACTGAAATTATTTATAAATTTATATTTTTCTAGGTGCAAGTTTCAGCTAAATCATTCAGACAATTTCTGATATAAAACTGGTTGTGTTTAGAATATTTCCCCTTAAATGTAGTTCAAACATAAATATACTAAGTGACATATAAATCCGAACACCCAGTTTAAATGGTTTTATTTTAATAAAATTTTGTATAAGTACTTAATGAAGCATAATAAGTAGATGATAAAAATTTCAAAATGATTGCACTGCTTTAAAGCCCTTTGACCTTTAATAATGTGTGGATGCACCCTGATATGCTACGCATTCTCCAACGCGCCTAGGCATGCTTCTGATCAGGTGGTCAATGTCCTCCTGTGGTATCTCATTCCAGGCAACCACCAACTCCTCTCGAAGTGCTTCTAGAGTCTGAGGAAGACGTTGCAAATTGAGCAATCTCCTACCCATCATATCCCACACGTGCTCAATTGGGGATAAGTCGGGAGATCTTGGTGGCCATAGTAACAATGTGACATCATTATGTTGAAAGAAATCTATTGTGACTCTTGCAACATGTGGTCGGGCATTATCTTGTTGGAAAGTTGGATCTGCCAGGGTGTCAAGATAGGGTAAAAGATGGGGTTCTAGAACTTCGTGGATATAACGCTGCGCGTTCATGTTACCTCTGATGAAGATTAAAGGTGACCTGGAACCATAAGCTATAGCACCCCAAACCATAACTCCAACAGTGTGATGAACATGTCTTTCAACAAAAAAACTGTGGATTCCTCCTTTCACCACGTCGCCTTCTAACCCTGGCACGACCATCGTGCATGCCTAAACAAAATCGAGACTCGTCACTAAAGACAATACTGTTCCATTCCTGATCCCAGAGTGACCGTTGTCTGCACCACTCAAGGCGATTACGTCGGTGTTCTCGAGTTAAAGGGAGGACCCAGTGTGAAAACAAGCCAAAACTTCTCATTCGTCAGTAAACACTTCGCATGCCAATAGGTCTTCCGTGTTCTGCAAACCATTCATTTGCAATGGACCTGGTAGTGGAGAAACGGTCCGTTAAGGCCAATAATCTTAGGCGGCGATCTTCACGGTCTGTTGTTCTACGGCGGCGTCCAGTGCCCCTTGCTCTTTGCGTACGGCCTTCCCGAAGCCATGCCTGACAACACCTAATCACAGTGTCTACACTTCTTTGCACTCTAACTGCAATTGCCCGAAAAGAAAGTCCAGCTTCCCGAAGTCCCACTATACGGCCCCTATCAAACTCACTAAGTTGACAAAATCGTACAGGTCTCCGTACTCTAGGCATCGTAACCGATCGTAAAGGGTGTCAAGAACCAAAATCCGCCAACGTTGATTCTTTACTGCGGCTGAAATATTCATTTTTAGAGCGTTAGTGAATTAAAAAAAAGCAGTATAAAAACCGGAATGTCCAACTGATAAGGCTGAAAATTTTTTCACTTGTTATTTACAGTAAGATAAATACATTCACCAACTTTTATTAAAATAAAACCTGGGTGTTCGGATTTATATGTCACTTAGTATACATTAAAATATTATCTCTTAGTTTTTGTGGAGAGCTGAGAGCTGAGTAGTACAGATATTTTTAGTTATTGCCCTTTCATTTACTAGTATTAGGCATAACACCATGTTAGCGATTTTGACAGGGGTAGAATTATTGTCTATCGAGGTGTTGGTTTGTCCTATCGCGTGTTATTTGTGCTGCAATGCCGGTAACACGTGTGTGTCGTGTGTGGATAGAAGAAGGTAGAGGAACACGAAGAAGGCCAACTGGTCCACCGAGGCGTAGCACAGAGGTAGCCCTACGAGACCTTGCTACTACGCGTCAGATCGCTGACCAATGGTTTGGAGAAAAAGGTAGACCTACACTCCATCGCCTCATTCGAGCCTTTGGACTTTTTCCATTCCGTCCACGGTTAGTGCTTCCTCTGACTGCGGACCACTGTCAACGTTTGAACTAAGGCAAAGAATGGCAACATTGGGAGGCAGAATGGCATAATCTTCAGCACCGAATCGCGATTCTGTCTAGGTACGCACGATGGTCATGTAATTTATCGCCATAACCTTAAAAATAATAATAAAGAAGCTAGTTGAAGGAGAAACGTCTCTCTGTATTTTAACTAGTTTTTCCGAGATGACGATGGATAAGCAGTCTCACATTCACAATCACAATAAAATAACAATTTGAACTTCTGTGGGACAACTCCTTTCTCTTAAACATTCGTTGACTACGAGGGTAGATTGGGAAGTTCTCGGTCCGATAACAATGCGATTTTTACTTGAATAGTCAAACTTGTCATTTTTAACATAATCTCCATCAAGGTTTCTCAAACATCAGGATTGCTGGAAGTGGAGGTCTGACAAAAAAATTTATTTACAGCCCCCCAATTTCTCCATGGGAATGGTCGTGTGAGCGGGTGCATTGTCCTGATGAA